AGCCTCCTGAGTAGCTGGGATTATAGGCGTGCACCACTACACCTGGCTAATTTTTGTTTTTTGTGTGTTTTTTTTTTTTTTTGAGACAGAATCTTGCCCTGTCGCCCAGGCTGAAGTGCAGTGGCATGGTCTCGGCTCACTGCAACCTTTGCCTCCTGGGTTCAAGCAATTCTTCTCCCTCAGCCTCCTGAGTAGTTGGACTACAGGTGAGCGCCACCATGCCCAGCTAATTTTTGTATTTTTAGTGAAGACAAGGTTTCACCATATTGGCCAGGCTGATCTCCAACTCCTGGCCTTGTGATCTAGCCACTTCAGCCTCCCAAAGTGCTGGGATTACCGGCGTGAGCCGCCGCAGCCGGCCTACAGCTGACATTTAACAATCAGGAGAAAGAGCTCCTGATATCTTTACAAATGCAAAAATTTGTGGAATCCCTCAAAACATAACTTTCATAAAATGCAGTAAGTCGAACTAAGGCTGGGTGGATGGACATGTTATTCACTGACCTAGAGCACACAGAAAGAAATGCCAAGTGTGATGGAAGAAAATGACGCATTAATTTTGGGGTTAAAATAGTTCCAGTGCTAACGCCTGAGATTCTCTAATAAACAGAAAAATACTGATGGGGCTGAGTCCAGTGGCTCACGCCTGTAATCCCAGCACTTTGAGAGGCTGAGGCAGGAGATCACTTGAGCCCAGGAACTCAAGAACAGCCTAGGCAACATAGCAAGACCCCCATCTCTGCAAAAAATTTTTTAAATATTAGCAGAATGTGCTGGTGTGCGCTTGTAGTCCTAGCTACTCAGGAGCCCTGGTGTCACCACTGCACTCCAACCTGGACGACAGAGCGAGATCCTGTCTCAAAAGAGAAAAAAAGAAAAAAACATGCTGATGTCCAGGCACTGTGCTAGGTCCTAAGAATACACAGGTGAACAAAAGATGATCCTAATCTCATAGGACTTGCAAGTCCATCAAATAATCAACAAATAAATAAATATTACAGACCTCTGAAGCGTTAAGAAATTGTATGGTACTATGATGGCCTTCGATAATACCATTGAGGCTACACGTCCATTGCACTTAATACTTTTCTAAGAAGACTCCCTAAAATTTCGATTTCTTAGAGATCTACTTGTTTTTAATTAATTTTTTAACAACAGACTTTATCTTTTAGGGCAGTTTTATGTTCGCAGCAAAATTGAGCAGAAAGTACAGTTTCCTTATTACCGTATTTCTTGCGCCCACCCTCCTCCAGCAAGAAACAATCTGCTCGCTTTCAAGCTGTTTTTATTTTTTGCATTTTGTTTAAAACAGAGTCTGGAGGAATGGGAGAAAACGCTGAAAACGCACCCGCACTCCGGTAGGTTGAATTAGGGTTCCTTCAAGAGCCGGAGAGGTATGCCAAGTAAAAACTACATTTCCCAAGGGGCAGCGCGTCACGTCACAGAGGAACGACTGCGCATGCGTAAAGGGTCCTCGCGCGATTACGTTCATAAAAGGAAAAAAAGCGTGTGCGGTTGCCGACGTGCCGCCAATCTTCGAACGGAGGTCTGTGACCATCCGCAGACTCCGAAAAAGCGTTCGCTGGCGCCTGCTCCCCACGTCGGTTTCCAGCCCGACGAGCTTGTTTTGTCCGAGACTCGGTAGGTGGGGACCGGCCGTGGCCTGAGCCCTCCGGCGAAGCGCGAGAGCGAAGGGCGACGTCCTCCCTTTTCGCGGTGGTTCCCGGCCTCCGTGAGGCGGCGCTCGAGGGGTGGTGCGCACGCGCTCTGGGTGGGAGGGGGCGGGGCTCGGGGAGGGCGGGCTCTGCGCCCGGCCGCTCGAGGTGTGCGCGTGCGCACTTCCATCCCGGGTGAGGGTGGGAAACTGGCACGCAGGGCTTGACAGGGACGCGGCCCCCAGGTGGCATACTCTGCCCCGGGTCACGAAGATGCGGACAGAGGCCAGGCCCCGAACTCCAGCACTTATTATTTGCACAAAAAAATCTTTTTTTGTTTAAGATACATAGCTCGTCATTTGCCCAGGCTGGTCTCTAACTCGTGGGCTCAGCCTCCCGCCTCGCCCTCCCAAAGTGTGGGGAGTATAGGCGTGAGTCCCCGCGCCCGGACAAAAAATGCCCTTCTTAAGAACAGCAAAACAGCCTCCTTCACTCTCCCTATCCTCCAGTTACCTTCTCGGCTCGGGTTTGCAGCCATAGGCCTCAGTCTAACTTCACTAGTGCCTTTCCTCCTCCAAGTCTTGAACCCTTGAGGCTATAGTCAGGCTTTGGTCTCTGCCACTCCACTAAAACAGTTCCTTGTCGCCGGGAGCGGTGGCTCACGCCTGTAATCCCAGCACTTTGGGAGGCCGAGGTGGGTGGATCACCTGAGGTCAGGAGTTTGAGTCCAGCCTGGTAAAACCCCATTTCTACTAAAAATACAAAAATTAGCCGGGCATGGTGGTGTGTGCCTGTAATCCCAGCTACTCGGGAGGCTGAGGCACAAGAATCGCCTGAACTCAGGAGGTGGAGGCTACAGTGAGCCAAAATTGTGCCACTGCACTCCTGCCTGGGTGACAGAGCAAGACCCTGTCTCAAAAGAGTCCTAGAGGTGGAAGAAAATCCACGTATAAGTGGACCTGCACAATTAAAACCTACATTGTTCAAGGGTCAACTGTATAGATGTATTGAACTGGGTAGTTGTATAGATGTATTGAGATTTATTGTGGTGGATTGGGTCATACAATTACAGAGGCTGAAAAGTCCCAAGATTTGCCATCTGCAAGCTGGAAGCCCAGGAAAGCAAACCCTCTGGAACTCACAGACACACTCAGAAGTGTTACCACTAGCTATCTGGGCATCCTCTAGCCCAATTAGGTTGACACATAAAGTTAACTGTCACATTTCCCTAACGTTTTTCAGTTGCCCTATCATCATTTTACTGGTGATACTTTGACAAGTGTTATAATAATAGCTAATGGTGAATTGGCAGTTTACAAGAGACCAAAAGCTTCCACTTCCATGCTCTTCTACTATTGAATATGGTGAATTTGTAACAAAACTTGGAATTCAGAGGAAGAGCATAGGTTTTACAATTTGCAGCCTTGTAGCCCCAGCTCAACTTTTTCCTGAGTTCCCTGCATAACCTATCTGAACTGCAGTTTCCCCACTCGACTTACCATTCTGATATCTATTTTTTTTGTTTTTTGTTTTTTTAACACTGCTCCTTCTGTACTGATATCTATTTTATCGGATTGCTGTAAGGTTTAAATGAGAAACACCGACATAAGTTGCAATACAGAGGCATGGAGGAAAAAAATCATCGTCTTAATGTCTCTTTAACTAATTGATGAATATAGATTCTATTTATTTATTTTTGAGATGGAGTCTTGCTCTGTCGCCCAGGCTGGAGTGCAGCGACGCGATCTCGGCTCACTGCAACCTCTGCCTCCTGGGTTCAAACAATTCTCCTGCCTCAGCCCCCTGAGTAGCTGGGATTACAAGCATGCATCACCATGCTTGGCTAATTTTTGTATTTTTAGTAGAGATGGGGTTTCACCATGTTGGCCAGGCTGGTCTCGAACTCCTGACTTCAAGCGATCTGCCCACCTTGTCCTCCCAAAGAGCTGGGATTACAGGTGCGAGTCACCGTGCCTGGCCTCTATTTATTTATATATTTTTTAGAAACAAAGTCTTACTCTGTCACCCAAGCTGGAGTGCGGTGGTGCAATAATAGCTCACTGTATTCTCAAACTCCTGGGCTCAAGTGATCTCCTGCCACAGCCTCCTGAGTAGCTGGGACTATACATGTGCACCACCATGCCGGGTTAATTATTTTGTTTTTGTAGAGACAGGGCCTCCTTCTGTTGCCCAGTCTAGTCCCAAAATCCTGACCTCAAGTGATCCTCTCATTTTGGCCACTCAAAGTGCTGGGATTATAGGCATGAGCCACTGTACGCAGTTTGCAGATTCTCATTGCCAGTGACTGGTTTGAGAGTGTGAGATCTGAGCATAGGGTATCAGGTTCCTCCTTCCCTTTGAGCCAGAACCTTAATCCTCTGTAGGATTAATCTTAGAGTGGCTTACATATAGGATATTTGGATTTGTTTGAGGCCTTGGATGCTATTATAGTGAAAGGGCCAGCAATCGTAGGTGGGGTATTAGTGGTTAACATATGCTTCTACCCCGCAGCCTTTGTCCCTCAGTTTGATCTCTCTCCTCATCCTTAAAGCTCTTCTTATTAATCAAGCTACTCAGTTGCAGCAGATAACAGAAAGCTAACCCCGACTAGCCTAAGCATGAAAAGGGTGTTTGTTGACTCTGTGATATTGTAAATATACATCTTGTCTGTGTCCCCGTTTGGAATGCTTATGGATCTTCCTGGAGGGAGGCCTGCCCAGGGAGGACATGAAAGCTCCTGGCATCTTCCTGTGTGCTTTGCCTTGTGTGCCTCTTCCTTCATTTGTATCCACTGTGATGTCTTTTACAATAAACCAGTAAACCTAAGTGTTTCTCTGAGTGCTGAGAGCTGCTCGTGTAAATTCATGGAACCCAAGGAGGGAATCGTGGAAACCCTGATTTATAAAAGTCAGTTGGTCAGAAGCACAATTAAAGTAACCAGGGCTTGTGACTGGCATCGAGAGTTCGGGGGACATGCTTGTGGAACTGAGCCCCCAGCCTGTGGGGTTTGACACCCTGTCTGGGTGGATAGTGTTGGAAATAAACTGAATTAGAGGATATCCAGTGTATATGCACTGTAGACTCGATGGATTGATTGTTGTTGGTGAGAAATCCCTACACGTTTGGCCACAGAAATCTTAGCTGTTGATTGATTGCATATTGTGACAGCAGAGGAGAAACCATTTGTTTTTTTTCCTCACAGACTCCAGCTGAAGAGGCCTGGAGTAAACCAGCTTCAGATGGGACTCTATCCAGAAGCCTAAATTATGTCACTGCTTTTTTTTTTTTTTTTTTTTGTAGAGACAGGGTCTTAAACTCCCAGCCTCAAGAGATCCTCTTGTCTCAGCCTCCTGAAAGCTGGGACTGCAGGAGCTCACCACCACACCTGGGTACTTTTTATTTTTGGTAGAGATAGAGCCTTGCTGTGGTGACCAGGCTGGTCTCAAACTCCTGGGCTCAAGCAGTCCTCTGTCCTCCGCCTCCCAAGGTGTCGGGATTACAGGCACGAGCCACTGTGACCCGCCTGTTTATTGGTTTTGTTAAATGCCTCGAGAGGTGTTAAAAAGCCCATCATGGAAAGAAGATAGCCCCAGAGGAGGGGTTCCAAATTCTTCATGTAAAAGTCTTCCCCAAACACTCAAATGTCCATCAACAGATGAATGGATTAAAAAACTGAGATCTTGCTGGGCGTGGTGGCTCAAGCCTGTAATCCCAGCACTTTGGGAGGCCAAGGCGGGTGGATCACGAGGTCAAGAGATCGAGACCATCCTGGTCAACATGGTGAAACCCCGTCTCTACTAAAAATACAAAAATTAGCTGGGCATGTTGGTGTGTGCCTGTAATCCGAGCCACTCGGGAGGCTGGGGCAGGAGGATCGACTGAGCTGAGGAAGTCAAGGTTGCAGTGAGCTGTGATTGTACCACTTCTCTCCAGCCTGGGCAATAGGGGTGAGACCTTGTCTCAGATAGGTAGATACACAGAAACATAGATAGATACATTGATAGGGTATTGTATGCCATTCAAATTATTTCCATTAAGCTGTTTTTGTTGTTTTCTTTGAGACAGAGTCTTACTCTGTCACCCAGACTGGAGTACAGTGATGCGATCTTGGCTCACTTCAACCTCCACCTCCCGGATTCAAGTGATTCTCATTCCTCAGCCCGCCAAGTAGCTGGGATTACAGGTGTGCACCACCACGCCCGCTAATCTTTGTATTTTTTAAATAGAGACAGTGTTTCACCATGTGGGCCAGGCTGGTCTCAAACTCTTGGCTTCAAGTGATTCACCCTCCCAAAGTGCTGGGATTATAGATGTGAGCCACTGCACCCTGCCCACTAAGCTGTTGTTTTAAAAAGTCTGCCTAAACCTCTGAACTAGACAAACATGGGGCACATTCCAAGCATCTTAGTTAAGTTTAAAAGATCAGTACAGATTTCAGCTGCCTCAAGGAAACTAGATTTGGAGTTTGAGTTCAACTGTGATTAACTGCTTGCTAACAAAATACCAAACTCTCAAGAACATAACAGAATCCAAAGCCTATAACATATCATCCAAAATGTCCGTGATACAATCCAAAATTATGAGACACAAAAAACGGGCCGGGTGTGGTGACTCAGGCCTGTAATCCCAGCACAGCACTTTGAGAGGCAGAGGCAGGTGGATCACTTGAGAAAGGAGTTTGAGACCAGCCTGGCCAATGTAGCAAAACCCTGTCTCTACTAAAAATACAAAAAAAATAGCCAAGCTTGGTAGTACATGGGAGGCTCAGCAGGCTGAGGCACGACAATTATGTGAACCCAGGCAGCAGAGGTTGCAGTGAGCTGAGATGGCACTACTACTCCAGTCTGGGCAACGAGAGCAAGACTCTGTCAAAAAAAAAAAAAAAAAAAAAAAAAAAAAAAAAGGGAAGAAAAAGACATTTTTAAAATACATTTTTTTAAAAAACAGGAAAATATGACTTGTATTCACAAAAAAAGGCAATAAACG